CTGGTTGTGAAGTGGATTCTTCTGGAATAAGCAGTTCATCCCCCTTGTCATGCTGTTGTCCTCCAGGCATTTTGTTAGTTTTTCGGGTGGCTGACTTGACTTTCAGGCGGACTTGCTCACGAGAACCCCCAATGTTGTGCAGCAGGTGGCGCAAGAATGCTTGCGCATGTACAAGGATGGCAGTGCTGGAGCTGGCGCCTCCCACAAACAGAGCAGGCCAGGCAATGGGTGACAGTGACAGCCACAATTAACGTTCGCAACTTCTTCAAAGTGTTTTAGCTCTCACGCTTGGTTTGAGCCCTGACTTCCTGGATTCTTGTCAAGTCTGGTGGCTTGGTCTCTTTCAGTATCAATTGCATCGCAGTCATGCTTGCTTGCGTTCAACCGAACACTTTCAGTTTGTTGCGGAAACTCACTCTAGGACGGCGCAGGCGAGGCAAGAGGTGAGAGCAGCCTCAGGCGCTTCCTTGACCCCTCCTTCAATGGCGGCGAAAGCGACCCACCTCTCAGGCCAATCATGCTCCGCTTGGCAGCAGGGGAGCATCTTAGCAACATGGCTGACGCGGAGCGAGACCCTTTTGTTTACTGGGTTGCAGCCTTCCGGCACGCGCCTGGGTTGCATGTGGCTGTGCGGCTGTTTGCTGTGGCTGACGTGACTGATTGGCGCGTTGCGCCATGTTTCCAAAATTGATACAAGGTCTCAACGCGCAAGGCGAAGCAGTGTCAGGCTGTTGACGGGCCAGGCAATCCTTTTGGCTGCCCAAGGTGAGGATCATAGAGCGAAACGTTGAGGGTGTGCACTCGGTCCTTGCGCGCGTCATTCGACGAGCTCCACGCGCTTCCATCAGCTACTTGAGTCTGGAAGTGCGCTTTGGCCTTTTGCTGACAGCTGTGCTGCGCGAGCCGGCAGTGACCTGCCTGCCCTGGTGTCCTTTTTAGAAAAAAGGTCCCGTGGACAATTCAGTTTCTTGCTTGTGCGCTTCAGATATGTGAGCATGTGCCCTTGTAATTGCCCTATGTCAGGATTTGAAGATGATGTTCCAAGAATGCTCTGGTATTGAGACGCTTCGCGGGTTCAGGCAATGCGTGCTCAACATGCTCTGCCTCCAGCCATCGACCTATCTGGATTCTTTAGAGTCGCGGGGCCTCGCCCGGCTGATCTACAGGGACAACTTGAAGCAGAAGCATTCCAAGCGAGAAGCGCTGTCTGCAGATTTGCACGAAAAACAATCCAAGGCAGGGCGTATCAAACATCCCCCGCGCTTAGTGAGCGCGGCCTGCGCAAACTGTGGTAACTTGCTTGATTGGCTTGCTTCGGGTTCGCGTCATAGGTAAGGAAACAATTGTGTCACAATTTTGCATTGCGCCTCTGGCTCTGTTGCCTGGCCCTGCCCGCAGGCTGATGAACACGACGCAGAGATGAACAAGCAAGCTCTTCGGGTGACCAACCCACTTGCAGACATCAAGAAGATCCACTTCACCAAGCTGTTGTTGGACTACTTGAAGAAGGCTGGGCGCTGTTTTTGTCCGAGGAACACTGCCTTACGGAGGAAGCGCCCGGCGCCAACCAAGAAGCAAGCTTGAGCCTGAGCCTTGTTTGTTGTTGCCTGCAGGTGTCAGCTGCAGACAAGGGCATGGTTCTTTCCATTGCCAAGCCTTTGCTGACACCGCAGAATCTGCGGACGCTGGCTCCATCGCCAAAAGGCTGCGCGCGTCGCGTGTTCGTTTGTTTGTTTGTTTGCTTGCTTGCTTGCTTGCTTGCTTGCTTGTTTGTTTGTTTGTTTGCTTGCTTGCTTGCTTGCTTGCTTGCTTGCTTGCTTGCTTGCTTGCTTGCTTGCTTGCTTGCTTGCTTGCTTGCTTGCTTGTTTGTTTGTTTGTTTGTTTGTTTGTGTGAGTGTTTGTGCGCTTGTGTGCTTGTGTGTTTGTGCAGTGTGTGTCTGTGTGTGTGTTGTATAGTTTTGTTTGTGTGTTTGTGGTTGTGTGTTTGCGCGGGTGGCAGTGAGAGAGCCAAAGCCATTCGGTATGTTGTGCGTGTGGCGCCAAAATCATTGCAGGATCATCGTTGATGATGGCATCGCCTCCTGCAGGCTGCCAAGCTGTCTCTCCACCCACCCTGAAGCGCGTGCTGCGGCTTCCATCGGGGAAGCCGCTGCAGATGTGTGACGAGTCGGACTCTTCGGATTTGGAACTCGCTCAGCGGGATGAGACGCAGCAGCAGCTTTGCCTACAGGATGAAAACGCTGCCGCGAAGCGCTTGCAGATGGTAGAGGCGATGTCGAACTTTGCTGGGAGCACTGCCGCTGTTACATTGTCGAACGCGCAAGTTGACTCCAGTTTCGCCGCAGTCCCGCCCGCCAACGCTGGGTCAGACTCTGGATCGAAAGCTGTGGTTTTTTTCCGAGTTGCGGATGGCAACATGGCTCATCACACATTGCAGGGACCAAGGCCGCAATATGATTTTGTGATGCAGCGCATGGGGGTGGTGGCTGTTGCTGAAGACAGATTGTGGCTGGACCTGCACCCATCTGGGTTGCCGGCTGTCTGCGAGCTTGCCCATCTGGAGTGGCAAGATCTGGCCCAAAAGCTGGCTGTGTGGCCGGTGGATTCTGTCAAGGTCACTCCCGGCCCACGCGTGCCCAGCTGGCGCCATGTCTGACACTAACCGCTTCTATTTGTCTGTCTGTCTGTCTCGGACAAGGGTTGGGGCGTGTGAGTGTGATGTGGAGTCCGGTGTTGTGGATGTGCGTTTGATCTTGAGTTGCTTCAAGTTTCTTGCATTCAGCGCCGGTCTAAGGCCACCAGGTGCTGCTACGCTGGCTGTCGACATTGCAGCAATGCGAGCAGTGGAGAGCAGGTTCGGCTTGGCGAAAAACACGTACTTTGCCCCGGAGCTTGTGGATGAGTTGCGCCTTCTTTTGTCACGTGGCTTTGTCAGGCACGTTGGCGACTGCAAGTATGTTCTGACGCAAGCTGGATGCTCCCAGCTTATGCCTACTGAGCGCATCTTGCAAGCAAAGGGGCAAAGCCTTGTTGCGTATGTTCGCGAGCAGACGTCTCAGTCTCAGGCTGGGCCTGGGCAGGATTTTTTCGACCTTGGCCCCTTCGAGCTCATGCTGCTTGCAATTGACAAGGGGTGGAAACAATTTACTCGCAGTGGCAGTGGCAGCGAGGCCAACTCCAGATGTCCTCCATACAGTGCTGGCGCGCAAAAGTGGTTTGCTGTGGCCAAAGAGACGGACTGCAACCCATGGTTTTTGCAGTGTCTGAGTCTGGCAGACGATCTCTTGCAACACGGGTTAACAGCTTTGCATTGGTTCCAGCCAGTCGCGCGCTACAAGCTGCTCGCTCAATACATGCGAAACCTTCCAGACATGATTGCGAAGGGCATGCGGCTGAGTTTTGCTTGCCCAGGCCTTGCAGCAAAACAGTACAAGTTGGATCTCTTGTCGGCAGCGGCGGCAGGGGCCAACTCCTCCCAACCACGTGGCCGTGGCCATCAGCAGGTTCGTGCTGATGAGACGCCTGGCCTGCACGGAGCTGGCGACTTGGACGAGGATGAGCCAAGTCTGAGTCTCAGCATGGTGAAACTGCATGATTCCCCAAGATACACAACGTAAACATAGCTGATGATTGCATTTTCAATCATCCCCAAAAATGGACATTGGCTTTGGATACTCAAATATAACTGACATTTCGATCGCACTACCTCCCACCACTTCTCTTGTTTGCCTGCCTTCTTCCAAACGGCCAAACACGCAGAACACAGCGGGCGCCGCTGCGCAAACATGTAGGTGTTTGGCAGTGAAGGAGATGTTTGCGGTTTGAAGCTGTAAAACTTGGTGTGTGAGAAGTGAGAAGTCACAGGAAATGATTGTGGGATTCGCGCGTGTTCTTCTGCTGGCTGGTTGTTGGCGTTGCTATTGCCAGGCCGGCGCAGGCGCCAGGTGTAGTTCCAGCAAGATACCGAAAGATTGTGTTATTTTGTGATAGTGGCAGTGTGACGACCTTGCAGCAAATACATATTTTGACATTAAGGTCTGTTGGGCCTGTCGAATCGCCCGACTCCAACGCCCAAGCCAGTGACAAAGCGAAGCCGATTGGCCGGTGGTGGTGTCCGCAGCAGAAGCAGTCCTGACGAAGGGGCCCAGTTGAATAACGCCCCCACGCAGCTGCTCAAGGTGAAAGATGCGCCCCCGGCCCCAGCCCCAGCAGCTTCAGCAAGCGAAGCGCCTGCAGATACAGAGCGTGCTGCAAGCCAAGCCATTGTGGCAGAGCCTGAACTGCCTGCAAAGGTGGAGGCGCTGCTCAGCAAGCAGACCCATGAGACAAGATGCAATGCGCTTGTGCCCCCTGTGGCCCCTCCTGATGATTTTGATGATGATCTTAGCGTGGCCGACCTGCTTTTGCTTCCTGCGAAGGCCAAGCTAAGAAGCGTGCCTGCGACCGCTGCGGCCCCTGCGCCAGCCAGCGCGGCTGTTGCTGGGCCCAAAAGGCGACCAGCTCCAGAACCGGCTCGGTTGCAAGCGTCGAGCATGTGTGATGATTCCACGGTGTGGGCTGCCGGAATCCCTATGGTGAAGAGGTTTGACAAGAAGATCCCAACCTTCTACGTTCATTGCCGGGCCCACCAAGGTGGAAGAAGGGCTTGCACAAAGAGCATGCAAATCAATAGGCCTGATGAGCAAACCGTCATCAAGAGGTTGAAATGGTGGCTTCTGAGTGGCTACACCATGGTGAAGGATTGAGGCCCAGCGGGCCAGTGGGACGGTGTTTACCCCGCACGTCTCTTTCTTTTTCAGACAAAAGCTCCCCGGGATGCCCTTTCTGCAAAATTGCAAACGGCTGCCAAAGCACGCTTCATGGTGCATGCGCGCGCTTTTGCAGATGTCAGAGTCGCAGGCAAGTCTGCCGAAGATGCTCGGCGACGCCACGTGGCTCTGGAGCCACCAGTGACAGAGGCAGAGCTGGACGACGTCGATTTTGATGCCCTCCTTGAGCAACAAATAGCGTTGCGCGGGGGAAGCTGATCTTCTGTTACCGGCCGGGCGCTCAGCAGCTCAGCGTGGCGTGTGCTTTTCATCGCCCCATCAAGACTTGACGGCTTTCCATGCGTTGCTTGATTGGGCCTTGGAATTTCAATGCAAGAAGTCAGCGACCAGATTGTGGCTCAAGCTTTGTCACGAAAAGGCCGTCCGTGCAGCAATGAAGAGACCTTCCTCGCCATGGCAAGGCCAGCGTCTCTCATAAGGAGCAAGAGCCTTGTGAAGCCTCTCCAGCATCGCCAGTGACAAGTGACACTGACAGCTTGCATGCTTGAGGGGCGAGGCAGGAGGCGGCGCAGATGGTGCTTGAGGCAGCTGACCTCCGTGTGGTTCAGGTGATTGCCAACGAGAGTTGCGCGCCTTGAAAGTGATGCTGGGCTTGGTGCGAAACGATTTCATGACACTCCAGCGCAAGACATTTCGAGTTGCTGGGCGCAAAGAGCACGCCTGCCAGCTTTTGTTCACATTGAAGTGTGTCTGCGTAGAAAGGCTAAGGCCTGCCCCAACTGTTTGGAGCAGGGCATGTGTTGGGAAAAAGGAAGTCGATCTTGCCACGCTGCCTCAGTGATGCTTGTTAGTGGGCTGCAAAGCCGGATGTTTGGCCTGCGCTGAGGTTGTGAGACTTGGTGCAGAGTGTGAGCCTGGCGCGTCAGGCCAGTGAGACAGGTGCCGTTTCAGTGGCAACTTGCGGTTGAATGTTTGCGCGAGGTTCACACTGTGACAGGTGGAAGCATGAGTCCTGAGCTGAGTGTTGTTGAGTCAGATTGGTCGAGTTGGATTGGTTGGCAAGTTGAGCCTGCGCACGCATCAGACACATTTGGCACAGAGTCTGAGACCCCCCCCCCTAAATATCGCGCGAGAGGAACGGGTGACAAATCACAGGTGAGACATTAAGACAAGTGAGACGCTGGCACGCTCAGGCCAACTTCTTCAGCATGTCGCATCCTGAGTATGACCAGTCGAGGAAAGGTTCAGGTGTGGTCTGGATTTTACAGGGCTTCCAATCCAGCCAATCCTCAGCATCAACAGCTCAGAAAGGCGTGTTTTCAAGCTGGCTCTTTACACTCCGGCCCAACATCCGCAGCAGCGCCAGCTTGGCAAAGGCGTGTTTTCAAGCGGGCTCTTTACAGGGGTTTGACTCCGGGCCAACATCCTCAGCATCACCAGCTTGGGGAAAGGCGTGTTTTCAAGTGGGCAACGCCTTTGCCTCAGCCTCGGGTAACTTTTTGCTGGCCACTCCAGCCTTGACATTCGATCCGTCGCATCCTCAGTCTTTTGTGTTGTGTCTGTAACTGTCTCACTCCAGAGAAACACCTGCAGCATATAGTTCGAACAAAAATGGAACTCTAACTTCGCCAATGGTTCCGTCGAGGCTGGACGAAACTGACAGTTCCAAATGTCTTCAGCAAAATTTGAGGGGTTAGGCGAACGTCGACGTTTGCCCAACCCCAAAACGGCTTCCAAAAGTCCTGGGCGCCATTTGGGGAGTTAGGCAAACGTTGACGTTTGCCCAACCCCAAAACGGCTTCCAAAAGTCCTGGGCGCCATTTGGGGGGTTAGGCAAACGTCGACGTTTGCCCAACCCCAAAACGGCTTCCAAAAGTCCTGGGCGCCATTTGAGGGGTTAGGCAAACGTCGACCTTTGCCCAACCCCAAAACGGCTTCCAAAAGTGCTGGGCGCCATTTGAGGGGTTAGGCAAACGTCGACGTTTGCCCAACCCCAAAACGGCTTCCAAAAGTCCTGGGCGCCATTTGGGGGTTAGGCAAACGTCGACGTTTGCCCAACCCCAAAACGGCTTCCAAAAGTGCTGGGCGCCATTTCAGGGGTTAGGCAAACGTCGACGTTTGCCCAACCCCAAAACGGCTTCCAAAAGTCCTGGGCGCCATTTGGGGGTTAGGCAAACGTCGACGTTTGCCCAACCCCAAAACGGCTTCCAAAAGTGCTGGGCGCCATTTCAGGGGTTAGGCAAACGTCGACGTTTGCCCAACCCCAAAACGGCTTCCAAAAGTCCTGGGCGCCATTTGGGGGTTAGGCAAACGTCGACGTTTGCCCAACCCCAAAACGGCTTCCAAAAGTGCTGGGCGCCATTTCAGGGGTTAGGCAAACGTCGACGTTTGCCCAACCCCAAAACGGCTTCCAAAAGTCCTGGGCGCCATTTGGGGGTTAGGCAAACGTCGACGTTTGCCCAACCCCAAAACGGCTTCCAAAAGTGCTGGGCGCCATTTCAGGGGTTAGGCAAACGTCGACGTTTGCCCAACCCCAAAACGGCTTCCAAAAGTCCTGGGCGCCATTTGGGGGTTAGGCAAACGTCGACGTTTGCC